ATGTATGATGGTGTTATCTTTGATTGATTTTACAGGTAATCTTTCTCATTCACTTTTAAATATCAAATGACTGGTTAGTGTTGTCCAAGGGCTGTGTACTTATCTGTGTATGTTCAAATGCATGCTTTGTCACCTGAGAGTTTAATAACAGCCAAGGAATTCGAGATATTTAATCAAATTGGTAAGGAATTTCCATTTGTCTTTTTAGCAGCTCAATTTTGTTCCAACAAGTACTTTGATAATGAGATCTTGACACCAAACCACCTTGAAGTGAGATACTGCAGTATTCTTATGTATAGATTTTTTTAACAAAAAAAGATTAATCTCGAAAACTTCCCTGAAAAATAATAATCTTCAAATTTGTAATCTTTCTTAGCCAAATAGGTCTAACACGGCAAATAAAGATCAGATTCATTACTCATTAACATGCTTGCCTACGCAGACTTAGAGCTCTGCGATGATCAATCAGTGATAGTCTTGGAATAGTCTCAAAACTTAAAATAAAGGCTTTTGCACAATTAGCAACTAATTAATTACTAATAATGTATTAATTTCTGGTTATGGACTCGAATATTAAAATCACAAAGTGAATAAGAAAGGAAGCAGACTTGCTGCTACTTTTTCTGGTCTGCAGCGAAAGCAAACGAAAAAGATTAAGCCAAATGTAACACACAAAAACACACCCCACACACACACACACACACACACACATGTATACTGTTATGGAATAGTGAACATGCAGGGTGGCAGCTTTTATTGCATTAATTAAAACTTTGGCAAATATGAAAAAGGAGAAAGAAGGGATAGCATGAATTGCAAGAAGTTTATCACACCTGATGCTGCAGCCAGAGTTAGACGCAAGCTTTATCATGATAGGCTAATAGTGGTCATTTTCGAAGACATCAGGCCACTTACTTGATTGCATATTCTGGTTTGTCCTTTTCTCTTTTAGAATTTGCAGAGAAAATTTTGTTGGCCACATCAGCCTCATGACATGATTCTCTTTCTTAAAATTCCCCTTTCCCTCCCAGGACTCATCCCCTGTGTTCTTTAGATTTAGCTTATCTGAGAGCAATTCTTCTGAATATACCAGGGAAGTTACAAATATCATCCCCATTCAAGTGCTAGGAATCCTCTGAAACACACACACAGAGATATAATAAATAGAAGGCACTTGTGGATCTATTTTATTGCAAATGGCTATTTTACCGGTGCTGGAGGCATGTAATTTACATGGGAGCCTATCAGACTAGGACATGAAAGAGAGTGTTGTATTAAATACTGATATTAAATGAAATGCAATATTTCATGAAGGGGGAGTTTAGAGGGTGATAAATAGAGTAGGACCCATGGTCCCAAATTGTCTTGGGAGTATTAGGACAAGATTAGGAGAGGGAGGGTTTTGAGTGTTGGGTCAACCACAGCATATTTCCCCACCTTCTGCCTCTTGCCATACACTAACACTAACCCTTTTAAACCTGTTCCCATGTGCTCTTCCCTCCTCCACCAACATTCCAATACCCTTCAACCTCCTTTCTGCTCCCCTTCCCTTCCACACAAGCAGCAAATATTTTCTCTATACACAATTATTACTTGCATATATTGAGCCTGCTACTGCTACCTCATCTCTCAGTTTTCATTTTATCTGCTTCTTTTCTTACCCTATTAATGCCTTGGACTTTGTCTCTGAGACTGATATGCTTCGACCACACTGTCCATGTGTACATTTGTTTGCTTTGTTTTGTTACTGTTTTGGTAATTATTATGTTTTTCTCAATACACAACTAACTTGTTAGCTTAGGTAGAAATTTATCAGTTTGAAGATATGGCTTCTTGTGCTAATCAAAAGTTGTGTATCTATGTATATATATAGGGGCTGCGTCCTGCTCTGAGTTCTGCTTGTTTGGCTTATTCATCGACAATTATTGGTGAGTTGACTAAACAGGTTTTTTTTTTTCTTTTTTTTTTTTACATATATCTCCATGTGTAACCATTTCCTGTGATCATTTGTCGTGGAATCTCACGTATTAATTTATTCACTTGATATCTATATATGTCCTTTTGGAAGGCCATTTTGACAAAACAAAAACAAAACAAAACAAAACAAAAAAACAATCCTGTGCGAACCAGTGATATTTATGCGCAAGATAATTAAACTTTCACAACAAAGAAAATCCTCAAGTGAAAAGAATAAGAGAGTGAAGATCAGACATGACCATGAAGAACTCACCTTAACTTTTAACATTGAAACAGCTATATTGAGTATATATAATGGAGAAGAGTAAATTACACTTAAAGGTTTTATTTATTTTATTTTTGGCCACAACACTTAAAGGTACGTTTAAGCATGTGACACATGTCTCTTATTTCTCACAAACCTTACGCAAAAAATACTGCTTCCACGTATTTTTGCAGAATTGCAATATATATATATATATATATTATACTAAGGGAAATAGCAAAATTTTAATTTCGAGTACTAATCCAGGTAATTATATAGAAATAATTGGTGTGGGGGCTTTTTATTATATTGCAGGTTGTAAGCAACACCTAATGAACGATGTGGCTTCATGCATGATTCAATTAATGTCATAGATATCTAAAACACTAATTAACAGGTAACAAGTTATAGTTTTTATTTACTAAATGCAATTTTAAAAAAATATTAACAATTGACACCTCATACTCCTCTGGTATCCTACTATCACGTTATAATTTTGGGGGGCAAAATAATAAAAGTATATTTCAAGTGGCAATCTTCACACCCATTGCTTGAGGTGTGTACTCTATTTATGTAGTTTCAAGGAATCTTACAGTTCAAATTTTGTTATTAAAATTTTCGATGCAGTTCAAGTGACAGCATATTTAATTTTACTGATCAAGTTGTATAAAAAGGGAACATTCTTACATTTGTGCTTGCTATCCAGAAATATCATTGTTATCAAGAATGGTTTCTGTTAATTAGGAAAAAAAAATGCAGATCGAAATTCACGAATGCACAATTGTTTAAATTTGGATTAAAGCCGTACGAAGGTAAAATAGTCGTCTCCAGTTGCGTGGCATACAATGTAGTATTCTTAAAAAAAATTTATGTGTGTTCCCAAATTTAATCTCGTGTATGGAAAATTGATTTGAGGCTGATGAATTTGACTCTGGATTTATGATAGATTCAATGAAAAATATGACTGTTGGTCCCTTTACATTTTAATATGTTTAGATATTCGTCTATATATTTTTTCCCTTTGCTCCTAGTCTCTTAATTTTTATCTATTCGCAATATTAGTTTCTACATATTAAAACATGATCATAAAGACTTACTACGATGGCTAACGAACACATAACTTCATTACTTCTCTTGCTAAATTATTAAAATTATTATGAGTTGTATAAAAATGAATAGAAAGGTTTTTTTTTTAAAGGGGCAAGATATTAAAATAAGAATCCATAAACACGGTTGGCAAAATTTCATAAGGAAGAAGTCGTGATTGCAAGGACATAAAGCATAAAAATTAGTAGTCATTTTATTCATATAAGATCTAATTCATTATAATTTTACCAGCTCAATGAGAGAATTAAAAATTAGTTACACATGAACACATTTAACTTTGATAATGACAAGAATTACCATTATAGACAGATGAAATTAAGAAACTAGAAACAACAAAAAATATAAAAACTAATAACAAAATATACTAAAAATATACGTTACCAACAATTACATTTTCCATAACACATCAGCGTTGAAGGATTCTATTTTCAGGGTATAATATAATAATAGTAAACTTAGTTAGGCGTTTTCGTGACCCTATATAAGAAGGTCCATAAATATTGCAAAATAAGAAAGTTTATAATTACTAGAGAAAATATTATTAAATATGAACGTATCACTGGATGTGTTTGGTGATTAATTAAGGATATAAAAGTTTTATACTCAATGACTAGAATTTGGAGATTCATTTCATCAAAAAAAAAAAACAAAAAAACAAAAAGAATTTGTTAGACTCATGAATAACGTATGAAAATGAAGGCTCCCGGTCGATCCCTCTTTTCAGTTCTCAATCAAGTTTGTGAGTCTCTCATCATTTCACAAACATTGTAAGTTGTAACTGAAGCCATATTTTTCTCTTACTTTTGACCTATTAGTAAAGAAATTGGTATGACAAAAAAAATTATTTCTCATTGCATATTTTTTAAGAAATAGACATCGAGAATTAATATTGATAAAATTGGTAATCACTACTCATATTTTTTTTCCGATTTAGTAATTACTATTCATATATAGTAATTCGGTAAGGGACACTAAAGTATGTTAATAGTGTTTTAAAATTATGCTACTAAACGGTTAATAATAACGATGTATTATTTTATGCCAAAATTAAGGATGCTTCTTTTTTAGCATGTTAAGCAAATTAATGCCATGATCAACACAATGAAAAAGATATCATTAATTGGAAATTGACTATGCGGCATATTATTACGAATATTAATATTAATCCTCGGTCATCAGCTTGTTAGTGAAAATATAAGGGACTACCAACGTAGTAGTATTCAAGAATTAATCCCAATTAAAAACACTATTAAAAGGACAAAAAGATGTTGTTAACTATATAGATTTATTTAATTTTTTTATAAACATTGTAAAATTATAGAATACTAATTATAAACAGGATATATAGTTACAAATTTTAAACTTTATTTTACTCTTTAGGAATTTAAAAAAGTTGACAGATGTGTCATTATTTATGAGCGTCTAATAATACATTAAATATTATTTGACGGACATGAAAATAATAACAGATAAGTTTTTGAGGAGGGCAGGATGGTCATTGACGATTTGAACGATGAAAATGAAAAAGGATCCCGTCCGTTGACTCTTAAGAATTCCAATGGCGGCCCCTACGCCGTTGGTCCTGCTCAGTCTCTCTCTCTCTCTCTCTCTCTCTCTCTCTCTCTCTCTCTCTGTGTGTGTGTGTCTCTCTCTGCGAGTGTCTGTCTTTGTAAGCTTATATTTAAAAGGCCAAGGTCCTAACAGACGAAGCAACACATAGAACAAAGCAGAGATAAGAAAGAAAGAAATGGAAGAGGTGATGGTGTACTGGCTGAAGCTGGTAGGCATGTCGCTGATCGGAATGGTGTTAATGGTGAAGCTGGGAGCGTCACTGTGGTGGAGACCCTTCAAAATCCAAGCCCATTTCTCCCGCCAAGGAATCAGAGGTCCTCCTTATCGGTTCTTCATCGGAAACCTCCACCAAGTCGTCTCCATGATGCTCCACGCTTCCTCTCAGCCTATCTTCCCTTTCTCTCACAACATCCTCCCCCGAGTCCTCTCCTTCTACCATCACTGGAAGAAGCTTTACGGTATCATCTTGCCGAATTCAATTCTTGACAATGTAGTTGTTTGTGTTTGGTAACAGTTTTAAAAACTCGACTTGTCTTCTTCCCACCTTCCTCCCTCTGTGCTGTGTAGGGTCTACTACACTACCATGCCCCTTCCCTTCTCTGAACACTCTCTGAAACCAATGGCTGTCATGTTTCCTGCTCTTTTCCTCTTTTCGCATACTTCCATTCCCACTTCCTACTTCTGCTTTTGTACTCCTTCCCTACTTTGTGTATATATCTCAACCTCTCCTAACCATGCACATAATCCATCTTAACTATTCTGCTTAATCTTCTGTTTTAGAATTTGGTTATTGGGCCTGATATATCTTTCATTATATTCCAGGTGCAACATTCCTGGTGTGGTTTGGACCCACGGTTCGTCTCGCCGTGTCTGATCCGGACCTGATAAGAGAAATCTTCACCTCCAAGTCCGAATTCTATGAGAAAAACGAAGCGCCGCCGCTCGTGAAGCAGCTTGAAGGCGATGGACTGCTCAGCCTCAAAGGAGAGAAATGGGCTCACCACCGGAAAATCATCTCCCGACTTTCCACATGGAAAATCTCAAAGTAATAATTAACTAACTGTGAATTGACTCTATCACATCCTCAAAGCCTGAGAGAATATCTGTGTGATCAACGGTGTGTTGTTGTGTATGTGCCCCGGCTCTTTTTGTAGTTGTTGATACCGGTGATGGCGACCGCCGTGGGGGACATGTCGGAGAAGTGGTCTGAGATGTCGTCGTCGGAGAGTAGGGGTGAAGTGGAAATCGAGGTTTCAGAGTGGTTTCAGACGTTGACAGAAGATGTCATTACGAGAACGGCTTTCGGAAGCAGCTACGAAGATGGCAAAGCCATCTTCAGACTCCAAGCCCAACAAATGGTATTAGCCGCCGATGCCTTCCAAAAAGTTTTCATCCCAGGTTACAGGTAAAGCCATAATACTGTTTCTCCTGCAAATGAATACAGACAGAACAGAAAGCCTGAAATCTTTCTGGTTGAATATATATAGATTCTTTCCGACGAGGAGGAATATAAGATCATGGAAGCTGGACAAGGAGATAAAAGATCGGTGGTGAAACTGATAGAGAAGCGAAGAGGGAAGAGAAGGAAATAGAGGAGGAGGAGGAAGGAGGAGCGGCGAAGGATTTGCTGGGACTGATGATGAAGGCGGAGAGCGGGAAGGTGACGGTGGAGGACATGGTGGAGGAGTGCAAGAGCTTCTTCTTCGCAGGGAAACACACGACATCGAACCTGCTGACGTGGACCACCATCCTCCTCGCGATGCATCCTCAGTGGCAGCTCCTCGCACGTGACGAGGTGCTTCGAGTTTGCGGTTCCTCACGCGACCTGCCCACCAAAGACCAGCTCCTCAAGCTCAAGACGGTGCGTATCTTTAATTTCTTTTAACCACAAGGGCTCGGCAAGTTCATTCATTATCATGCCAATTAATTAAATTAAATGAACTTTGTTTTGGGAGTATAATAACACTATTAGTATATTTGGACCCTTATGTTATTTTTGTTTGCTGAAATGGCGATGCTAATCCCCACCTTTTGCTTTCTGGTAGCCCTCCTCTGGGGAACATGGTGTGCCACTTTTGTCTTTTACATCAATCACTTAACCAGACATCATGCCTCGGCTTTTAGTTTCGTTCTTTTTAACTTTTTCATTACTTTGTAATATGTGTGCGTGCGCGCACGCGCTTCCCCCATCCATTACCTAACCCAATTAATTCCTTGTTGCCTGATATCCATCTGTAAATATGTATAATTATCGATGATTATTCGTAAATGTCTTCATTTATTTTATATACAAAATTATCTAATATATCTAGTATCATCAGACATCAGACGAGATTCAATTTTTAAAAAACTTTTATTGATCGGACCTGTTTTTTATATCCATCAGCGTAACATTCGAAGATAGATAAAGTATAATTTAGAATCTTGAGAGTATATTTGTTTTTGTGCTCCAATAAATCGTCAATTAAAAGGGTTAAATTGCAATTGCTGATAAAAAAATTATATTTTTGTTTTTAGTTTGATCTTATTTGAGATTTTGATCTGACGCAGCTCAGCATGATTATCAACGAATCGTTAAGGTTGTACCCCCCAACAATTGCAACAATTAGGCGAGCCAAAACTGACGTGGATCTGGGGGGCTACAAGATCCCACGTGGGACCGAGATCCTGATTCCAATCCTGGCCGTCCATCACGATCCAGCAATATGGGGCAACGACGTGAACGAATTCAATCCTGGCCGTTTCTCGGAGGGAGTGGCCCGCGCTGCAAAGCATCCATTGGCGTTCATACCATTTGGTTTGGGTGCGCGCACATGTATCGGACAAAATCTCGCAATGCTGCAAGCCAGGCTTGCTTTAGCTATGATACTACAGCGTTTTAGTTTCAGGTTGGCCCCACACTATCAACACGCTCCGACGGTCTTGATGCTTCTCTACCCTCAATACGGGGCGCCCATCATTTTCAGACCCTTGTGATGAACGGTCCTGATTCCATTGGCTATCATCCTATGTATCTCCGTTTGTGTGGGAACATATATAATTTTTTTTTTCAGAAAATTAACTCAAGCCCACAATTTTCAAGGGATAAAGTTCACCGTGGTTACGATCCCTTTTTCAAGAATTTAGGTTTATAATGTAGTATGTATAAATGTGGATCAAAGTGGGGCCTGAGTCCGCCTGATATATGCTTTTGATAGCATTTTCATCGGAAATATATATATATATATATATATATGAGCGTATATGGGAATTAAATTACCATGGTGACCTTCCCATTTGTTTAGCGACCTGTGGAACAGAGTTACAGTGGCGTCTTGATGTGAGGATTTTGGTCTTGTTATTCAGAATTGCAATGTAAACAATAGACGGCTAACAGCTAATTTATATAGCTACTTCACCATTTTGTCATTTTGTGTATACATTGTGTAAATCTTTTTTTTTTTTAACTGTGGTTTTGTAATTTTGTAACGCCTTTTTTTTAAATAATATTGACTGTATTGCAAAAAAAGTAAGAGTATTATTTGTTACATTAGTAACGACAATCTCTAAGTTCGGAGACACATAAGAAACATGAACCCCAAAAAATGCATAATGTTGAACATTTACACGTCTTTAAAAATAAGTATAGTAATTTGATAACCCATAAACTATTATATAGCATTTAATATGCTGCAATTAAATATTAAATATGTTTGCTTAGGTATTGACGGATGAAAAGAAGAGAGGAACGTTTGGCTTGAGGTGCAAGGAAAGGTATGAATATGAGCTAACTCAAACCATATGAGTTAAGAAAAATGTAGGTTGAATTGAGTGTAATTCACTTTTTTATGGGTTAAAAAAATCTCAACCGAATCTAACTCTTAAGATAGCAGGCTAAAATGTCAACTCATTTATTTTTTTAGTTTATTTTTTCATGATTTTTTTAAAGTATACGTAAATGATGACTTTCAATTTAATACTCCTTCATGATTCATTCTGATACATCAAAATATTAATTTAACATATTTATATAAAATATATGAATTGTTTTGGTTAAATAAGTATACCCAATATGGTTTTATCCCATAAAATTGTTTCCTTTTTTTTAAATTTTTAAAAATAATATGGGTTAAACGGGCCAATAAAGTCTCCCTTACCAAATCACATTTAACTTCATAATTAACGTAATCAAGGGATAAACCTCCAAAAAATTACTAGAGTTGTAGAATTTTATAAAAGAGAAGAATTCTCAAATTATTTACAATGGAATCCCAAAACTTAATTTTTAATCTCTAATACACATTTAAAATGTTCAAATCAAAGTTTGAAAACAATACAAAAACTTAAAAAACAAGTGGGACCCAAAATAATAAGTTTCAAAACTCAAAACAGTGTTTTTGCGTAGGAAATGCAACATGCACCACAGCATAAGACATATACACCGTAGCTCATCCTTCTTTGTGCCATGCGCGGCGACGTGAGGCATCATGAGCCGCGGTGCATTGCATGAATTTAATAGATATCAACTATCAAAATAACAGCACAGGAAGCGAACTTTCAACGTGTCTCAAATCTCCGTCTGATATTCAATTAAGGTGATTTTGATGTTTACATGGAGCTTTTTCCTAGATTTAGTTAATGGCACAGGTTCCACACTTAAATTTAATGACATGTAACTCTTAGTTGACAATTGTATTAACATTTATACACATAAAATAACAAAGAGAGGCATACAAAAGGATTACTCTACAAATCATAAGCCTTTATGTGTGTTCCCTAACTAGGATCTAATGAGCTAGCCTCTGTTGAAAACTAAAGAGTGAATACAACTACTTAATAACCAAGTTTTACTTTATCTATACAGTTATCTATCAATTATAAACAAATGCAAAATAGGTAAAGATATGCAAACACAATACATATGATAGGCTTGGTTATGGTTCATGATACTAACAATCATGTAACCAGGCCAAAGGCACATATTTATATCCACAAAATGTCAATTCACATTCTAAGGTCGTAATAATACCAATCATAACTTATTGGATCACAATACTAATAATCATGTAGCTAGATTTATATGTATGAATGAATGCCAACCTTATACCTTGTTACCTCCGACATGAAATCGGTGGCTATCACATGATTATGTCTTTTACGAACTAACCCAGCCTTCCACTTGTGAGGGAGCTACTAGATCGAGATTAACTCACTTACTTGTATAATCCAATTTTTCTCAACATTAACAATCATTGGGTTTCGTACCCCTAATCTAGCCTCCTCGTGAACTAATGGAGATTAATTATGTTCAAGTCCCTCATAAAACAACTAAAACAGTCCCGAATCAACCATGAAACAAGGGTTATCTCTCAATTCTAATGATCAGTGCTAAGGCAAGTTCTTGATTCCAACTATCGATACCACATGAATTTAATCAACTACCCCTCTCCCTAGGCAAACTCCCGCTAATGGTCATACTATACACGTATTTTACATATTTATGCATTCTAATCCACAATGTATGTCACATGAAATCATACCTCTAAATTCACAAACTCTACATGCTCCACAAGAAAAAATTGTATTTAGCAAATTTTTACAACATGCTAACAAATCAAAAACCATCAAATACAAATGGATGGCATGCATAGGGTTTTTTCATTTTAAAACCATTTTCCAAAAATATCACATTGCCAAATTGCACCATTGTTTAGAAATATAAATCATACTCCAAATCAACTCAATTTCAATCAATAACCAATTAATATTCAATCATATAAAGTTAGATTTTTCTCGGTTATCTCAAACCTTTAAAATATTAAAGGTTTATTCCTCACAATACCAACTTTTAAAGCTTCTCACAAGCTTAAATGATGTTAAATTGAACCTCACTATATTCACAACACAAGGATACCATCATTATCTCATTTTTAAGGATTTACCAATACCAAACTCTACATATCTATTTTATCAATCTTATAAATCATTACCTCTTCATACTTAATGGGTTCATTAGGTTTCGTTGAAGCACATTATCATTTATAGATCTTCAAACCACCACTAATAGGTATAAAACTCTCTTAACTACCCCATTAATGAATAATTTTTGGACATCAAGTGCTCTACTCAACAAAATCTTGATAAAATCATCAAGGTAAGGTTTATCTATCACAAATAACTCTCATTATATCTATTTTAACTAATGAGATTGGACTCATAACTTCTATGGATCAAAAGTCAATCTTTTAATCCAAACCCTAACTTGAAACTTCATAAATGTGGGAGAGAAAGGAAGAAAGAAGCTCATCACACTGACCTCAAGTGTTAGAAACCTTAAGATTGCCTTCAAGGGTCCCAAAGTGCATGCCTTAATAGAGCTTTAGTCGTGATATTCATTTTTTCTTCCTCTCCTTATCTCATTTTGCACATAGAGATGCCATGACGCATGGCATAGAGAAGCCCATTGTATTTAAATCAGACTCTGTGCACTGCGACAGATTGACCACACGCCGCAACATGTGGCATAGAGGGCATTCCTTCACTTTTTCTTCCTCTTTCCTTTCCGGGTGACCCATCATTGATTCAGACCTACTTTTAGAACTAAAATTACAATGAATTATATCAATTAGCCCCTCTAGTTACACACCTTATTAACTCACTAATCACACTCATTATATTAATAAATCATGATTAATTTTCTCAAATGTTACAGGGTCAACCCTAACCCATCAGGGTTAGCTTATACAATTCACAATCTATACAGTTCGAGTAAAAAATATTTTTATTTGGGTTAAGTTTTTCCAACCTGACCCTGACTCTTATGATCAATTATTCAAACTAACCTATATAACCTGACTCATATTCTCAGCTTTAGGTGCAAGACAGGGAACTTTAGGGCTTGAACATATTATCACTGGACGTTAATCATAGTATAACTAATTACTCCCCCTATTGAGATGTTTTTTTTAAGGTGGGATTTTTAAATATACAAGGCATTTTGCATTTTTCAAGGTATAATGAGTATGATTTTTTAAACAACACACACAATTAGGAGATGTAATTAATAAGATTTTCTAATTGTATTCCCTCTAATCCTGTTTATAGGGTTGAGAAAGAAATTTTTTGTCATATTTATGTTATTAAATTTTCATCTCAAATTTTTCCTTCTACCCTCTATTGAATGTTAGAAATAAAAATATGTTGCTAAAGTATATATATTTAACAGGGATAAAGTTAAGAGTTTATTAATTTTTTACATAGAGTTGCGCTCTTTAGTCCTATTTATAAGGTAGAGAGAGAATTTTTTTCTTATTTATAAATCACCTCATTAAATTTTCATTATAAAATTCTCTATTTGACCTCCATTAAATGTTTGAGAGAGAAAATATATCGTTAAAGTATGTATATTTAACAGGAACAAGTCAAGAGATTATTAAATTTATAGATAGAGTCGATGAGTTTAAAATTTTCCTTGGCTTCAGTGAAACCTATTGGAAGTGCCTTATGAATATGATCAGATGAGTAATGAGTTTTAAGGTTTTATTTAATTACAACGAAAGATGTTGGAAGTGACTAATGCATAACTAAAAAAGTAAGCCCCAACAGAATAAGGAAACACAAAAAGAGTGCATGATTTGAAAGATAATAAACTAACTCAACAAGAACATAATTTGATTAAAAATACTTTATAATATTAAATGAAAGGAGTGTTACTTTTAAGTATTCATATAAAAATTTTGTTTAAAATATTCCTATTTAGAGTTAGTAACTCTCGAATTTGATCTAATGATGCTAAATTTGACGTTGTGAAAAAAGAGAAGGAGTAATTATGTGTAATAGAAGAAAAGTGATTAAAATGTAAACAAGTGCTGGGATGAGATTTGATCCTTTGTGTAAATATTTTTGCCAGTCTTTTTTGTAAGGCTGAAAGAATTTTTTATTTCTTATCTATAAGTTACATTACTAAATTTTTAAATATCAGTGAGAGAAAATATGTTATTAAATAATATTACATATTTAACGGGCAAAGTTAAAAACTCACTCCCTTCAATCCTTATTTAAATATAAGTAAAATTAAAAAGTTTATTCATTTTCTAGACAAAGTTAATGTTATGCACTATTTTAGTTCCGGCGAAACATTTTGAAAGTAAGTATTACCTTCATCTTAAACTATAAAATATTTTTAGATAAAATTTTATATATTAATAAATATTATTAAAAATACTTATACACCACTTCTTAGTTCCAGTGAAATAGTTAGGGTGACGTGTTTTATTATAAGGATAAGAGGAAGTATTAAATTTTTATATAGAGTCAATAAGTTTTAATGTTTGTCTTTGATTTCTCTGGTAAAACATATTAAAAGTTAGTACTACTTATATCTCAATTATAAAACACTTTTGGATAACATTTCATATACAAATAAATTT